AGCTTGCTTGTAGGAAAATAGGATCGCCCTCCACTCTCCACGTGGCTTATCTTGGTAACTACATGCCAGTCTGTTAGCACGTGGCTTTCTGACGTCAAGTCCCGATTCTCTCTTGGTGGTCCCCTCCTGAATTAGGTAACAATTACAGTGGAATTGGTGGTTTTCTTGTAGTTTTTACTTAAATTCATGGCTGCAAATTGCAACCTTGAATTTATCATATTCGGAACTCGAAAAAACGGAGGGAGTTCGTAGATTATTTGATCAATATAAAGGTCAGAATCAATTGATAACAAAATAGAAGAAAATAAAATAATAAAAATAAATAAATAACAAATTGATTATAAATTCTATTGACGTACAAAACACTCTCTCTCTATTCCACGCCAGTTCTAGATTGGGTGGGCTTGTATTTCAACTTCCAATCAATGTCAACGTTTTCCCCGTGGCTACTCTAATGTTGTTGTTTGAGCTCGGTAGACTATAGGATGATGTTATTCTCGTTTCATAATCTACTTTCATTATTTAAATAAAAATAAAATAATCTCAATTTGTTTTTTTTAATACAGATAGTTGATGATTTTAAATGCGGGTAATATATTTGTATCTAAAAGTGAGGAGTCCTCTTTTATATAATCAGAATAGTTAAATTTGACAGTTTTTTAAGTGTTATTTATAACTATATTTAATTTCTTTGAGATTCTTTTGCTCGTATATAAATTATAATACTTTTTTTCTAGAGATTTTTTTATCTGTTTGAAAATATTATTCATCAATAAAATATTTATCTTAAATAGTATAATAAAATAATCAAAATCCTATAAACTTTATTTTTTATGCATTTTATTTCTTTTCTATTTGAATTTAATTTAAATTTTAATAAATATAAAATAACTTTTCAATAAAACTTGCTTGTGTCGGAATAAAATAATTATAATTATTATATTATATTTTAAAAAGCTTGAAAACATATTATACATATATTGTGAGTATAAACTCATCATACTATAAAATCACAATCACGTTGTAAATATTAAATATTTGTACCATCAACAACATTATAGCATTTTAAGAGGCATAATATTTTTTATCCCTGGTAAAAAAATTAATGTTAAGTTTTAATGAATAATTAGACCAAATGCTATCGAGTTTGGCTGAATAACCAGAATCAAGGAGGTTGAATCGACGAAAAAAATAAAAAAATATTTTTATTAATTTAAATTAATATATTTTGATATTTTTGTGCTATTTTGATGCAATAATATAAAAAATTAATTTAAACAAATAAAAAAATATTATCTCATTTTTAAAAAAAAATTAAAACTACTTGAGTTTCATTAAAAACATAAAATATACTTATATAATTATTATCTTTAAATAAAATATTCTCTACAGCAACACAATAAATAGTGTATAACAAAGTAACACTAAATATATATACAACAAATTTCTTTCCCTGTATTTTTTTTAAAGATTTTTTAAAAAGATTTCCTATTAAATTTTTTTATTTCCTCTTATTATTTTTTATACTGTTTTTAAAAAATAAAGTAATATAACTTTTTTTATACTGTATAAAAATTAAGTAATAATAATTTTTTTTATATTAGGTTGGGTTAATTTTTTTTATTAAAATATGTTAGTTTTTATGTTCAAAAAATAGTATTATTTTTTTATTTTTTATTTTAAATTAATATTTTTTAATATTTTTATATTATTTTGATATGATGGTATAAAAAATAAAAAATATTATTTTAATATATTATTTTGATATAAAATATTTGGATTACAAACAAAACTGTAGCATTATTTTTCATGAATTTAATAAAAAATTATTACTAGATCAGGTGGGATAGCCAAATCTAAAACTACCACGTCCTGCTGCTGAGCAGCACCCGCACTGCTGCCAGTACAACCCTGTAACATTGAGTCTTCTTTCCAACATATCCAATAATAATGGGCCTTGTTGAGTTGTTGCCATAGTTAATGCACTTAACATGTTTTCTATATTTTTAACTTTTTTTATATTCAAAAAAAATTATTTTTGATCTACTGCAGAGCGAGTGCAAATCATCCTAATATTTAAATAGAAGGGGAGATGTAGCGAGATTGATAATTCATCTGATCGAAGATAACACCGCAATCGACGGAACACGTTTATTTGATGGGATGCTTAATTATTGATTTAATACTATATGTCTCATACACATCGATTACCAGAGAAGCTGATAAGAGACCGTATATTATTTATATAATCTCAGGGGTTGGCTTGATTGTAGTGAGGTTTACCTTTGTATAGAGCGATGGGTTCTAAATGAAAATCGATTAAAATTTAATTTTTTATTTGTATTTTCAAATTATTTTAATGTATTAACATTAAAAATATCTTTTTATTTTAATATATTTTCAAATAAAATATTTTAAGCAGTAACAACTACTATATTTCTAAACACTCTCTCAATAACAACTACTATATTTCTAAACACTCTCTCATAGTTTTTTGGATTAAAACTTTAAATCAACATCTTAAAAATCTATTAAATTTCATAGAATATACCAAATTAATGTATATATTTAAAAACAAATATAAAAAAAATAAAATAAAAGAGTCTCAATCAATACAGAAAGTAGCGTGAAAATATCCCTTATGTGTATAAATAAATTTTAAAAGGAAAACCATTAAAAATCAAAATTGCTATATTCCACTCTATTTATTAAACATGTGTATGATTTGATTGTAAGAATGTAATTTGTGTTTCTATTGAGATTAAAATTTTATCTTATATAATAATAAAAATCACCTTCACTCCAGCTTGATATATTTAAGATCACTGTTTTTGTTTGTATAAATATAAACTTCAAAACAAAACTCAGAGAATCATGCGAGAAAATAAATCTCTTTACCCAGTCAAACATGAAACCTTTGATTATTGCTTATACAAACACTTAACTTGTCCAGGAGGGCATGTCTTTTTCGTCCCCTCCCGCTCCCTTCCCGGAGCCCGACACTATCAGTAGGTACATCGAAGCCGACCGCTTATTCCTGTCTCTTCCCCCCACCACACGATTTTGCCTGTTTTGTTATCTTAAACCAAACATTAAGGATTAAATTGCGACTTTTTTTAGGTAAAATATGATACAATTATTTATTGAAGGATTTTTTATTTAAAAATATATTTAAATAATATTTTTTTTATTTTTAATATTAGTAGGTTAAAGTTATCTAAAAATAAAAAATAATTTAAAATAAAATAAATTTATTCTTAAAATATAAAAATAAATCAATTAACTTTTTATTTAAGGTGTATTAATTTTTGTGGTTGTATTTTATATATAATTTTTTTTAAAAAATTATATAGTTAAATTTTATATTTATTAAATTATATTCAACTCCAACTTCAATCTCCTCCACGAAAATAAATACACTTTAGTTGTACTTATTGTGCGTGTTGGGTTTCCTCGGATCAGGACAAGAATGCCGTCATCAAACGCCGTTAATATTCCAAATGTTACTGTTTTGCTTTTTGCGTGTGAACAACGTGGCAGGGCATAAGTTAGTTGGCTCCAGTTTAAATCATTACATTTCTGACACGTAGTGGCTTCACCACAAACGTCGGCTCTTGAAATTAAAAAACGAAATAAAATAAAATAAAACAAATTGAACGCTCCATAGTCTCTCATGGCCCTTCTGCACCCTCTTTTTTATTTTTTACTTTCTTTTAAAATCCATACGCAAGAAAAGAATTTTCGCCCCACGCTGTAAGCATCATGCCCAAATTGCCCCTGCTCCCTACCGCCACTAATTATCATCCCCGTTTTTTAAAATTGAATTCTTCTTCGCACAATTACTGACCATTTCGTTATTACTGAAATTAAAGACCTTGACCTAGGGCACAAGATTATAAACTCTTCACGAATTAATTAGGGACTGGAATTAGAAATCTCAGTCTTAAACATTAATATTACCAGAGTTATACTTTATTCACATAAATTAAAAAAATAATAATTAACAACTCAATATATAGTGAAAACCAAGAGCCCAAAACTCCATGGCTCATGATCTCTTTTTACAACCGATTATAGCAAGAGAATCTGCTTGTTTCATTTGAAAGCTTGTAGAAACTACTGTACCATAAAACATAGACAGTACTCAAGTAAAAGAATGAGAAAATTGTTTGAGCCAAAAGCTTGAGCTTCGATTGGATAGCACTGCCTTGTGCGGGCTACAAAGGATTTACTGGAGAAATCCTAGGAGCTGAACAAGGTGTGTATGTAGATGAAATTAATTAAGGAAACAAAAACAAATCATAGTTGTAAGGAGTGTATGATGGACAGTATCCCGCAGTAAAGAAAACCCTAGAAAATCGAGGAGCCTGGTGCATACAATATTGGTTTTGCAAGCAACACAAGATCTGCAAAAAGCGATCGAGGAGACCCACTCACTCAATGCTGCTAGTGGGATAGTTACTTATCAGCTAAAATCTTCTACATATCAAATGGTAGTTAAGAACTAAACTTAGTAGTCAAGCATTTCCAAAAGGTAAAGGAAACTCCACAACTCCTGGAAGAAAACGTTATCATAATGTTCCTCACCTGTGGGACAACTACTTAAAACTTGGACATAAAACTGCTTGTACTTGTCTTCCTTTAGTTTATTTTTCCCTTATATTGAACATAAAATAAAAACTACACGTTCTTTCACATGTCCGCTGCGCTGCATGTTTTTTTTTTTTTTTTGGGGATTCGATAAATGCCTGGTCTGGTCTGGTCTGCTGGTACTTAGGTTAGATTTCAGTTACTGTACATCTTTTCCTCCGAAGTCAAAGGAAATGAAGTGATGTGCTTCCAGATTTTAGGTTCTCTTTTTGGAAACATGACCTGCTTGGCATCCATTTTTACCTTAGAAGCTTCCATTTCAAGGGTTCTCTATGCATAATTGGGAATTCTAATGGTTCTTTTTAAAATCCATGCAGCAGTTCCATGACTTTTTCTCAAGATAAATTAAATTTCCATGACAATCCATTTTAGACTGAGCATTTGGGAATCAAAAGCAATTATTACACATCCACTCCACTATTGTTAAAAGGAGGTACGAACTCCACAATGAATTCTGTGGTGTCTGTCTTTGTAGTACAATCCATTTTTAAAATTTTTATTTTAAAATTATTTTTTAATATTTTTAGATATTTTTAATGTATTGATATTAAAAATAAATTTAAAAAATATTATTGTGATATATTTTCAAATAAAAAACTTAAAAAAAATATTTATTATATTTTTAAATAATTATTTCAATTAAAAAAATATATAAAATAAAATTTTACAACGCTAGGTTTGCATTCAACACTAAATGGAATCTTTGGATTTTATTTTTATATAAAGAATGATAATATTAATAAATATGATTATAGAAACAGTATTACAGAGCCTTGCTATTATAGCTTAAGAAAAATAATTGAACAAGTATAAATTATTATGTATTTTTTTAAATTTTGTACAAGATGATTATCTGTCTCTGGGTAAAACATATTTTTCTCTAATTTTTCAAAAGAACAAAAGAAAAGGAAAGAAACAAAGAGGAGAGCTTTGAGTTGACCCAAGGGTGATTTTGTCATACCAAAAAGTCGAGATACCTTGTGTTCTTAAATTTATAATTTTCTTCCAAAGAACAGACAAAGAAAACGACCTTTGCGTGAGCTGTAAAAATAAAAAATAAAAAATAAAGATATGAATTTTTATTAGTCCTGAAATATCCAAAACACTATTTTTTATTTTATATATATCTTTCTTCATCACAATGCTACTCTCTCTCTGTTGAGGTTTCCCTTACACTCAGAAAATTAAATAAAGATGGACCGAAATCAATGACTTTCCTATAGATTCTCCAAAAATTCAAGCTCTTTTAGGGTTTCCCAATTTCTCAGTAAGCGATTCTCCCAACTCCTTCTCCATCCTTCCTCTCTCTCTGCTTGCATCTTCAGTTTGTGTTTTTGATGGGGATTTTCTGTATCTGGCTTGCTAGAAAATTTGTTGGAAAGAAGAAAAAATTGGAATTTTTTTAGCTCTGCTCTTCAAGTAGAAGGGGGATTTAGAACTAGACTTTTGCTTGGTTTGATTACTTTGTGCTGTGAAATTTAAAAGGTTAGAGTGGATTTAGGATTTCCTGATGAAAATCATAGCTGAATTGAGCTAAAATTTGGCGTCTTTTCCCCTGTTTAAGCCTAGTTTTGTTTTAAAGCTGTTGAAGTTTGAATAAACTTTGGTCTTTGCTAAAAAGCTTGAAATGAAGTCTTCTGTAAATCTCTCTCTCTCTCTCTCTTCGATGTGTGGTGATGAGTAATTCAATGGAGATTGAATTTTGCATATATTTTGCAGCGTGTCATCTGTCGTATTTTATTTTTATAAAATTATTGAAAATTTAGGATTTTTTGAAATTTTTATGTTCTAGGAGGACGTTGTGAATGATGCCGGCAAAATCTGAAAAAGATCGACGTTTAGACCACCGTGGACCGAGCCCGTTCCAAACAAACATTTACTCCCAACCTTGGTGGCGTGATGTGGGGAACAGTCCCTCTTTAGGTGACACTGCATCAAAATTGTCTTCAGTAGGGAACCTAAATGGTTCTCTTGCGAATGCAGCAATACAATCACAAGTTAATACTGGCTTACAGAAAGGAGCTATGGTGAACAAAGACATGCAGACCGATGTAACATCGCAATCTGGTAGTAATCCTTGAACCCATCTCTTTGTTTTGCAAGTATGTTTGCACGAAGACATTATTATTACCTTAAAAGTCAGCATAAGATAACTGTTTGAAAAGAGTGTCACCAGGGCATTCCAATTGTGCTTTTCTCTCAATGTGAGTAATCAATAGAATGTCCCCCCGTCTTTAACATGGTCCATTGAATTTAAACCAAGCATTCCATGTTTTTATGGTTTGCATCACAAACTTGTTCCAGTATGCATATTTTACTCACTCTTCACATTTTTTACATGAAAGGTTTATTCTAGAAATTAGAGAAATCAGCTTGAAAGAACAAGATTCTATCTTGTACAAGAGGAAAAGAAAGAAAAGGATTGGTGATATTCCATTGTGGATACAGTTGATCGACATTGCTAGGATACTGCCTCTTTTGCTTCACCCTGGGTATCATATTCATTTACTTTGGTGATATGCATGCCGGGCACTCAAAAATGATGGAGAGCTCCTGAGAATAATCAAACTCAAAACTTGTAATTTTCACTCACAATTGAAACTGGCACATGAATTCATGTAATAGGATTTCCCTCGTAGTTTTTTTTTGTTTAGCCTGGATCAATTCTTAAGTTTGACTACAACAAAATGGTCGCACTGTTTTGGTGGCTAAGTTCTGTGTGATAATGAATCTGTCTGGTTTTCATTTTGAATGTAGTGTATTGGCACCCCGTTGTATAGATCTAACCTTGCTTCTTACTTCTAGGAGTGCAGGAAGGGTAGGTCTTTTTTAGCAGGCAGATTGTTCTTGTAATTTTTTTGCTTAACAATTAATCCTTACAATTTTTTTTTTTTGAGTTTAATATTCACAAGTTCATTTAAAATATCGTGCCTTTTGCTTTTGGTTGGTTAGACAGGGGAAACATTAGGTTGATACTGTCAGTTTGTGCTCCAAGCAATTTCTTGAAGGTTATAAATGTCTTCAAAAAATTTACATTGTGGAGAATAATTCAAGGAAAAGAAAAATTGGAAGGCCTTTTTTGGTCACATCCTGCTGTAAGATAAATATTATGTTTATAAAATCTTTAATACTACGTTGTTTCTTTTTGAATTCCATGTCCAATGTCCAAACAGGTTGCAAGTTGAATTGGAACAATGTCTTCCTTTTATTCTAGTCTTCTCTTTGACCCCACTATATTTTGTTCTCTGCCAGTAGCGGTATGCTAGACTACCTTCTCTTTGCCACTACCCAGATTTTGGTAGGAAGACATGACTCTACTCAATGTTCTGCATCGGATGCAGAAAATTGAAGGGATAAATTGTAGCAGCTGTCCATAAATCCCTCCTGCTGAGAATAATATTTTGAAATAAATGCATGAGCTATGGGTTTATTTGTACTTTGATAGAAAATTGTCCGTGAATGCTTTACTTTGTTTTGATTACTGGTGCCTTGATTACTTCTAATCTTCAACAGAATGAAATGTACATGGCATGTTTGCCCCTTGTTTCTTAGAAATTCAGATGTACCCTTTTCTTTTAGACATGTGATATTGTTGCAAGTGTCACATTTTGTCAGGTGAGTACACCACCCATGACATGACATGGCTAAAGCTTCTTTTCTTGTCCAGATGAAAGTAATGGACAAGAACACCATCTCAAACACATTCCATCACCAACAACTGTCACCATGGGCGGACACCTTGAACCAAATTCCCAGATGGAACTTGTTGGCCACTCAATTGTAAGATCCCCCCCCCCCCCTGTTTGTTTCCCTTGTGTGCACAAATGCACTTGTTTCATGCTCAATGTGCACATTTGTGAGCACTCACAGTTGTCATCCATTGACAGCTAAATGTCTCTTGGACTATGCCTCACCTGGTTCCAACTTCTGTTTACTCAGAATTCTGAGTTCTCTAACTTTTTCAGGTTTTGACTTCACATCCATATACAGATCCACAGTATGGCGGGATGTTTGCTTCTTATGGAGCACAAGCAATGGTATGAACTTCATGGTCCTCTATCTATGCTATAAATTTAAGAACAGAAAGACAGCAAACCACATTTGGCATGCTTCACGTTTGAATCTTATTTTATATACTATGTTTGCTTCTGAATTACATTTGGCATACTTCATGGTCCCTTCTCTATGTTTGCTTCTCATTTTAGATATTCTCTCCCATTACTGAATTTATATTTGTGCCTTCTTGTTCACAATTGGTGATCTGGCATTATGAGCTGAAGTCGATAGAGGAATGATACAGCCAAGGCCAACAGATTTCTAGTATTCTCTGTTGTTCATGATTACTAAACAATTGCAAACATTTACCCATCAATGATCAAGTCATCGGCTCTCTAATTCAACTGTGGAGCTTATGGTTCTTGGTTGAACCACCACTTATGCATTCAGTTTATTTCTTGTAGACTAATTGAAAGCATATTACAAAAAAAAAAAAAAAAAACAGATAAACTTACACACGGATCATCCTCATCTTCAGAAGAAAACCAGATGATCTCTTAAGGTAGATTGACAAATATATGTATATGTATATGTATATGTATATGTATATGTATATGTATATGTATATGTATATGTATATGTATATGTATATGTATATGTATATGTATATGTATATGTATATGTATATGTATATGTATATGTATATGTATATGTATATGTATATGTATATGTATATGTATATGTATATGTATGTATATTTGTGGGTGTGGGTTTATTTGTTTTTATTATTTGATTGTTAAAGGTGGATAAAATTTGAGATATAAAACTAACACGGGCCAATCAAAACTTCATAGCTGTCAGTCGGGATTCATTATGATAAAATCCATCTTAAACAAGTTCACCTTTTGATCTTATACTGGTTTCTTCTCAATGCTGTTGGTTCAACCATCTTTCAATGGGTTTTGATGGGTATCCCATTGCATGTCTGGTCTGAGAGCCAGCTTGAGTGCAGTCTTATTTATTACTGATAATGATAAGTGAAATGATTAAATTAATGTTCTTCTACCTAATTATTGTTTTCAGACATTTATAGTTAACAAATTTCTTGTTACTAGGTACCTCAATTATATGGAATGCCACAGGCCAGAATGCCCTTGCCCCTTGAAATGGAAGAGGAGCCTGTGTATGTAAATGCAAAACAGTTTCATGGCATTATGAGGCGAAGACAGGCACGTGCTAAGGCAGAGCTTGAAAAAAAGGCAGTAAAAGTTAGAAAGGTAGAATCAATGTTTCAATATTTTCATCCACTGAGATTATTTAGTATTTTCAGTGGTAAAATTTAAGTATAGATGCATAGATACGTCCTTATATTGTTAATCTAAATCCTGACATGGCTTGTTTCATCTGTTTTTGCAAACTAATAGAGTTAAAACATGCATTCTCTTTTAAAATTAGTTGATTTTCTGTGTCACATTCCTTTTGGCTATGTTACCTGAATGCAAGTTTCTTTCTGCTAGGTTACGAGCTTTGTGTGGTTCTTTCATTCAAATGGAATCAATAGAAGTTCAATTTCTTTATCCTTTTCACAGGCTAAAATTCTCTCAGTTACGGGCTAGCTTACTTGATGATGATTTTAAAGTTCCTAGGATTAGACGTCCTTGGATGTGTTTGATATCTGAATTCTTTCTTAGGATATTTGTACTTCCTTCTGAAAGAAGATGATAGACATTATAGAGAACTTCCCAGGAGTAACCCATAGTCGACCACCTGTGTGTTAATGAAGTAGACAAATTCATAGAAAGTCGGATGAAACTGTATCGGGTGTTGGGGATATTAATGGGGATTTTAAGCACTTGCAAATGTCACTGATTCTTCAGTTTATTGTTCTGGTCTGAAATCTCGTTCTGATTTGATTACCCTATTCACGGTTGAGTTCATGCATTCTAAATTTATAAATTGCCTGTTATATGATCTGTGTCTCTTGTTGTTTGGTAAAGCCATATCTACATGAGTCTCGACACCAACATGCTATGAGAAGGGCAAGAGGTTGTGGTGGCCGTTTTCTCAATACAAAGAAGCTTGATAATAACGCTACCAATCCCACATCAGAAAAGGGTATTAATTCCGTTGCTAATATCTCAAAACAATCTTATAGCTTTTCAGTTTCTGAATGTTTTCCCACTGAAGGTAGTGGAGATTTGAATTCCTCTGGCGATCTGGAAGAAGGAAAAGGGTCCCAGTCTTCCTCCAATGGTCATGGTAATGGTCATGCACTCTCATCAAGATATCATTCATCATCACATGATGGCAGCTTCTTGGGTCAGCAAAAGGAAACCACACACGGGAATAGGGTGTCTAATGGAGCTGTCTCCATTCATTAAACTTCCACCTCAAGTTGTACGGGGCCCTTCAGCATTGCTACAATGGTTTGATTATTAACTCCAATAGAGACATCGTTTAAGTTTCCTTTTCTCCTGGCTAGTCTTTGTATCTTATGGAAGGTTTGCCTTCTGCAGGAAAAGCTGGTGGCATTAGCCATGTTCAACTTGGGAGGAAACTTTTCCTGTGCTGTGTTTCTCAGGCAATTCATTCTTGGCTTTAGGTCTTTGGTTACTTGGTGCATTCATGGTGATGAGAGTGTAGCATATGTGATGGACTTCATGCTATCTTCAGACTTGAACTAATTTCATCTCTCTTCTTTTAGCGGCTTCTGTAAAAATGGCAAAAACTTGTGTATCTACCTAGTAGAAATTACTCTCGAATGTAGTAATTCCAAATGGTCTGCATTTGAACTTTCATGTGACCTCTTCTTTCTGTGTGAGAAAAGGGTTTACCTCTTCTACCCTAACATCTCAAAGACGCCAAGAGGTGGCTGTTCTTTCCGTCAGTCTTTTCCCTTCTGAATTCTGATTGTTCTTAGGATTCACCTCATCCTCACCCTAATGATTGTTTGGAAACTGTTTCGCCTGTTCATCTTTGGGTCAAATTCATCTCCATTCTGCCAACTGTTAGTGTGTAGGACGCGCGTGCTTCATTGTTGTGCGAGAACAAAGGCCAAAGCATTGTCTGCATGTGTTGCCAGTATGTACCACGTTAAAGTGGCATGCTTGATTGTTATCCAATCACAGTCCTTCTGGAGAAATTTGGAGACAGTTCTGTTTTCCAACATTTTCTATTTTGCAGGAAGTGATGTTTGGATTATTGTTCTGCTATAAAAAGAGACCACAGGAACGGAATCCTGGGGATATTGAATAGCATTTTCTGTGCGTGAGTGTTTGCTTATAAACACGTGCCTTTGAAATTCGGAGACAAGTCATCCCATTAATTTTAATTCTATAGAAGCTAAAATAAAATTTTGTTTAGAGACATGTTTTTTATTTATTTATCTATGAAAAATTATATCACAATAATTTTATATAATTTTATATTTTTAAAATCACCATTAACTTTTTTAAATCTATTTTTGTAAATTATAATGCGGTGGTTATATTTAAATTTTAAAAAATAAATTAAAATTAAAATTAAAATTAAAATAATTTTTTACCTAATTTGTTTTTAAAACACAATAAAACATTGCTCAGAAGGACGGGTTTTAAAAGAAAAGGCTTCTGTACACGTGGCTAACCATGATTGGTTATATGATACAAGCGGTGTTGCCTTGGAAAAAAGAATTGTTTTGGATGTAAAACACCGTGGTTTTGGGCGATCCTTTTAAAAACAACAATCCCCTTCCCTACGCGACTCTGCGGCGCTCTCATCTCTCTCTTCTTGTCTCGCTGTATCAAGTCGACTCTCTCTTTTTCTTGATTATTATGCTGTGTGTAAGCATTTATTTATGAAAATATAGATATAAATATCCCAATGAAGAAACATTTAGTAATCTGAAGTGTGCTTGAAACAATTTATGAGGGAGAGATGGATGGATGGGTGCTCCTTTATTCTTCTTTTTTAGCAGAAGAAAAGGTCTGAGGAACCAACCAACCATCCCTTTCATAGGTTTCATGCACCTGCAGGTGGATGCTTGGCTTTTTAGCTGAGGGATCATTTTTTTTTTTTTCATTTTTGTGATAGAACAAGATTTTAGTGATCTCATTTTTTAGATTTACTTGCAAATAAATCCGAATGCCTTCTTCCCTTTTTTGAAATTTAGATTTCAAAATCGGTTTGGGAACTACTCTAATGTATGGGATCTACTATAAATCTATAGAAGCTTATTTGATAAAGCTTTAGTATGAAGATTTAAAGATTTACTGGCATCATTTTTTCTTTTTAAAGAAAGAAATCGCTGCCAGGCCAGTGGATTTCAAAATCAACTGTAAGAAAATGTCAATTTTTATGGTGCCATGCTAATTGATCACAGCTCATTGGCCTGTCTGTTGAATCGAGATGTGAATCAAGAGTCATTCTGCTGGTTCTGTTCTCGCCTGCTAGGTTCTAAACGAAGAGAAAGAAACCTTAGTTAAGTACTGTGTTTGTGATGGGCTTTGCAGCTACTCCCTCTATGTGGAGAATCAGGACTCCAATTTTAATCAATTTCCAGGTTGTTCGGAAGTTCAATTTGAGTCAAATTAAATAGATAAATTGAATTTATATGTTTTAAAAAATAAAATTTAATTCGTTTTATTTTATAAAGAATATAATCACCTTTAACTAGGGGTGTGCAAAAAAACCGAATAAATCAAGAAAACCGAGAAAAAATTAACTGAAAAAACCTAACTGAGAAAAAAAATCGATTAAACCGATTAGAATAGTTAGAAAAAATTTCGGTTTGGTTTGGTTTTCAATTTTGTAATATAGAAACCGGCTAACTCAAACTGAACCGAACTAATTCAAAAAAAGACAATATAAATAGAAAAAATTATCCCCTCCCCTCTCAGTAACCCTAGCCACAGTCCCCTCTCACTCATTTTCTCCCTCTCCCTCACTCTCTCTCCAGTAACCTTAAAAGGTTTGCTTCAAACATGGATCCATATGTTGTTGACTTGCACATATGTTGTGACTTGCATGATTGCAGAGACTACCATTTCCAGTAAGCTATAAGAACCCCAACCAACATTACATATGAAATGTTATTGTTTGACTTGCATGATTGTAGAGACTATCATCTCCAGTAAGCCATAAGAACCCCAACCAACATTACATATGAAATGTTATTGTTAGTAGTTTTTTCAATGAATCATGAGAAGATTTGTTTGTGTGAATATGATGAATATCTTTATTGGTATCAAACTATGATTGGTATCGTAATAATTGCTTTGCTTGCTTCATGGTTCTGCATTTTGTGTTGAATAATATAAAGCTTAGTTTCAAAGACTTCTATGGAAGTCCAGTGCCTAAAAATTTAGGATTTTGATTTATGGCAGAGTTTTGGATTTGGGATGAAATCAATGGTGTTGATTTTTGGTTTTTAATTTGTTTGCACAATGCAGGGAAAACAATAATGGTGAAAAGGCATCTTGCTTGGCGAGTTTGAGGAGAAATATGAGCATATAGGTTTTTTTGGTTTTTTGAAATCAAAAACCGGACTGGACCGAAACCGGTCAGTTTGACTCGATTCGGTTCGATTTCGATTGTTTTTTTTAAAAGAAAAAAATCGATTTGGTTGTTTTTTATAGTTAAAAACCAAACCGAACCGAAAATGATCATCCTTACCTTTAACCCATCCTCGCTTTATCTCAATTTTATTTAAAATTTAATTTTTAATATTTAAAATATTCAAATGTTTATTTACGTTAGAATGATTGTTTTCTAAAGTATTTTTATTTTTTTAAAATTTTATTTTTAACATAACAAATTAAAACAATCTAAAATCATAAAAATAGAATTTGAAAAGAATAAAAAAAATTTAAAATAATTTTAAAATATAAAAATAAACACCCTTAAGAAGCATTCATCGAAACCAAGTGACAGTGCTGCTTTCTATTGGCAAAGATGTTCGATTTTGAATGGACCTCTTTCTTGTACGCTACATAAGGATTTTTGTCAGCCAGTGGGCAAATTCAGAAAATGTCTAATCAAGCTTCTTGGTTATTGCCAATTTGCCTACAGATTTTCTTTGTTTTCAACCGTTGGGAACTATTGCTGTGCAGGTTGACAATGGCTTGCTTAAATTGAAAGGGGTATGCAACGAAATCGTTGTTGCCTAATTAATGAATAAATCGAGATCTTACTCTAATCACGAGATTATAAACCATTGGAATACTCGGGAAAAAGCCTGTTTTCTCGAGTTCTCTCCAATCGCCGATGACCGTGGGACCTGCGAAACTGCACTGGATGACAATTAACATTGACAGAGAACATTATCTGTGAATGAGCTGGACATGTAGAGATAAACCATCACATTATTCAAGGAAGAAATTTCGATATATATAGCTACTAGTACTGCTGCTGAGGTTTTATAGTTTACAGGTTCTCTGTTAATACAGAATCAATGGCAGCATAACAGGCAACCACTACACGCTAGTGGAAATTACTCTGCTTCCCGTTCTCCGTGTGTTCTATTACCATATCTCAAGCCCAGATGATTGCTTATTCTTTCTGTGGAGCAATTACAGCTTTGCCTGTTCTTGAAGTTGTTCCTGTTCAGCATTTGATGGAGTTTGGTTAGAAGCACAGCTTGGAAAATAGAAGTAGCTGTAGCCGAACAAAACTTAATAACTTGCATCTGTACAGATATGAATTATAATGGATGAACCCAGAGAAGTTGCAGAGAATAAAATACATTCCTTCTGGCTGGACGACCGTAGACTTTCACACTGAAATTTTGTTAGTAAAGAATAGCTGGATAATCATCATACTACTGTTACTCATCAGCTAGAATTCAGGGAGGTACAAGGTGTTATTCGAAGTAACAGGTGACTACAACTCTAACTCTTGATGCACAACTCCAAGTAAGGGTAAGGGCTGCATTCTCTAGGAACACAATACCGCAGCTAGTCTTTGCGGCATAAGCAACGAACTTGTTACTCAATGGTATTCTTGCATAAGCAAGAGAGGTTGGGTCTCAAGTTTGAGTTTTGACAATTCAACCCTAATAAATTGGATCACATTCATAAGAAGAAGAAGAAGAAGAAGAAGAAGAAGAAGAAGAAGCCAGTCTTCATTGCAGATGTCACATCAGCTGAGATAGCTTTCTTGTATCTTGTCATCATCAAATGGCACTGCCTTGAACTTCTTGCTAGTATTTGATCCATTTATGTACAGTTATTCATTTCAAAGAATACCCAAATACTTAATCCGTTTCCAATATGTTCAACTCCATCTCCGCATCTTAAGAATCAGATCAATACCCGTTATTTTTAGCTAATATTTGGTCCTCAATTTTTTGGTGTTCTGAACTTCACTTGATTGATTCTCAATGGCATTTATTGAGAGAGAGAGAGAAAAACCCTTAAATGGCATCGCCATACAACTCTCTGAAAACTCCTCCTAACTCATAAAAATTAACTTCTAGTATATGCCAGTCCAAAAATGAATTGAGCATGGAAGATCAAAATCGAACTAAATCCAGAAGTAACTAATATTACACTCACCTCCGACACAAAGAAGGCATGGAACCCATATGGAACTCTGTGGGGTAACTCAACAACTGCAACAGGATCAGCTGACATGGTTTTTGCATCAATCACATTCACTGATGATTTTCTGCATGTTAAAGATAAGAAGTTAGTTTTTTAAAAAATACCACGAGCCTGGAAACCACCTCATCCTCAATTCTCCTCAGAAAGAATAAGAGAAACAGAAAACTGAAAGAGAAATCTGTTGTTCCTTGACGGGGCATATAGCCACATTTTTGGAATATTAGAGCAGTCAAAGTTAACTTGTTAAATTGGATGCTTGGATGGAAATTTTAAAAAAATGAAAAAGACAGGTTTACAAATTGAGTAAAGGAAGTTTTTATTAAAAAGGGAAGTGATTACCCGGTACTTTCATCATGTGCGAAGAATATCAGGTAGCCATCATCTTCCTCGGACGTGGTGCCTGGTTTACTAGGGACAAATACAGCCTCTGAACCAAATCTACCAGGACCAAGGTCAAAGATGCCTTTGACATTTCCTCCAACTTCAATCTTTCCTTTTCCTGGTTCAGGCTCTGCATGTAGATCAAATTTAACAACCCCTGTAACCTTTGCAATGCTGTCCAGAATTGTCCCGTACACATATCTTTGTTTCCTGAATTCACACAAGATAATCATCAGGCAAAAATAATCAGCAGAAGACATAAGTCAATCAACAGCACAAATAAAATATGAAACAGCAAAATGAACTCAAGCCAAAGAACAACATTAGTGACACAACTGCAGCTCAGGGTAGATGTACACCTCCCAGTGTAACTCTCATTCACCCTGGTAAAATCAACTGCAGCTTCTGATAATTTCTTTTGTGAAGCTACACCACTTTTCATATTGAATCTCATCTCATACCTGCTCAAAAAGAAAAAAAGGCCATCAGAAGGACATAAAGATAAACAACTATAAAATTCACAGGAATGTGCCATATCTCTCCTACAGCTCATTTGTAAAATTCTCAAGCTTTTCTTTGACATCCCCACTGACCATGTCCAAATCTGGATTTTGAACACGGCAAGTGATTAAAACAATTTCATCCTCCTCCTCCCAGGCATTGGCTAGTAAAAGCAAGGAAATAAAGTTAGAATGGACTCATGAAGACAGGACAAAATCTAGTATCTTAGTCATAAGCCAATAGAAGCCTTCGTATGTTTGAAGTTCCACTAAAATAAATCTGTGAAATATGACAAACAGATTATTTCATCCAACAACAATGTCAACTTTGTTCACCGTATACATCTCTGAAGAGGAGCCAGACTATCAGTTTTAAGAACAGGAATCTGCCATGACAAAGACTTTTCAAGGCTAAAGAGGAGCCCAAAAGACAGTCTACTGCAGTTTTTATATACTTGTCAACGTCACTTTGACTTATTGATTTATGTCTTCTAGATGTACGCATGTTAAGCCCCAAGATAACAATTTTCAAAAACCATGCATCTAAAAACTGACCACAGATTTTGTACAAGGGTGCCTCTATGTTGATTGAAATTACTAGGCATACAGATTTGGCTAGGCAGTCCCAGTAAATTGGAATATGAAGCTTGATGTAAGCTACGACACAAAAGATCAACTTCTCAGCCACTATCAGAAACTAGGATAAAGCATATAACCTAAAGATATGCTGGGCAAGTGTGTTCATACTACAGATTTATCAACTCAGAGAACAATGTTTTTGGCATTTAAATAGACATGGGAAAGGTTACAATACTATTAACTCCGAGAATGACTTTTTTGGAATTTAAATATACATGGGAAAGAAAGTAGCGCACCATTGTGGAATATGAAGCAATTTGGAAGCTCAAACCATTTGATTAGGAGGTCATCCTTAGCATATCGTGGAAGGACACCAAAACGAGCTTTTTTTGTTGCATCAAATGTGAATATGAGCTTCTTTTCTTTCACCATTTCCTGAAGAGTTGTCTCAAGGAAAATATTTAAGGTTGACTGTTTCCATCACATTCCATACCATGAATGAAATCTATTGCATGCATTCAAGTACTACTGTGAATTTTCATGCAAGTTACATGAGGCTGCTTTTGGCGGTCAAGAAAGTTTTGTTAGAATCAATCTGGAAGTGAAGAAAGCAAAGCAAAACAAAAGTAAAGGAAACTGATCTTAAGGAATATTTTGCCTAGAATTTGGAAGAAAGGTTTGCAGGAAAATAACCATAACTTTCTTATACTGCTTTTCCACAAGCAAAGGTTGGACAAGATCTGCGAGGCATTTTCTAGCTAGAATTAGCTATTGTTGGTTGCTCTTATTTTTGTTACAAACAGATCAACAGAAATGAGGGACCAGCTTACATACGTTCTCCTTAAAATAAAAATGCTGGAGATTAAAATCAAAATAGTATAATTAACCCATGGATAGCATTGAACTTCACTGCTGCTTAGATTAGGTTACAATTAACAGAAACTCTAATTGTTAAGTGTTTGTTGAAATTACTGGTCCGATATGCTCTCTATTTAGTCATTTATTTTTAATAGAAGATTATTAATGATGATCTGACAGTTTACTGGTTTAATCACATAAACTTGTGAAATGTTTTGCACCTAAAAAATCTCAACCACAAAAAGGACAGCAAAAGGAACAGCTACTCTAAAACATGCAATATTAGTAAGACCTGTAAATATATTCAGAGCAAATTATTCACCCTCAAAATCAATGATTCGTGTTTTCCAGAGTCTGACCAGGAATCTAGTTATATTTTACGAGTTGGCATCCCTCCTCCCCTCTCTCACAATACTCTCTCTATGCAAAATACTCTCTCTAGTTATATTTCTATGCACTTTTAAATCTCAAGTTTATAATTGCCTTTCACTTACATAGATATTCATGAAAGACACTCATATGCATGCATGTATCATGCTGAACCTTGTGAACAGTTCATTCATTTATTTTATAAGCACTGTGAATTGTGTCCATAAACTGCAATAACTGAGAAATTATTGTACCTTCGGTCGGAAGTACAAAGGAAGATCCATAAAAATTGCATAGTTCTCTGTAATTGCAAAGTCATGCATCATTATGGGTTCTGATATAGTTATTGGTACAGGGTCATGCATGACACCATCCTTTGAAATGACTCTGTATGTCACATATGGTGGTTCATGTGAATAGCCAAAGGTAAACATCTCTCCTGCATTAAGGGATTTTGAATGTCAAAAATGTTTCACTTCAGTAAAACTTGTTGCCGAGGTACCTTTTCATGCAGGACATTACCAGTGAATGGATCCACCTTTGGATGAGCAGTGAAAGAATGTTTTAGTCTTTTTTCATAATCCAACAGGCCAATAGTTTGCAGATCTCCATCTTCCATAACTTTAACCACATCTGCAAGATTCAAAGGACATCTCTCCAGTTCTACACAAAAGGACCGCAAAAGAGCAACAAACAACTCACCCACACAAAAAATTCTTTGATCTTCTCAAAAGTATGATGAAGAGAAAAGATGAGCTTACAGGGTTTATCAGCCTCTTGAAGTGCCAAAAGTTTTCCATGGTGATAAATGAGATTTGTATTACCTGGAGGAGGGTTGCAGACAATTATTTTCTTTTAACACTATATTTTATGAGGATGATTAATAATGTGAGCGGCAACTAATAAACATACATGTGGATGTCATCTCCAGATCAAACTTTAAAGCCAACCAAAAGAAACCCAACTTACCAGTCCCATTTCCATATGACATGTCCAATACTTTTGTTTTTGCTCGAAGCATTTGCATGTAAACCATAAGTAATCCGAAAAGCCCTTTGAGGTCTCCAACCTGCAAATGACAGGTCAAAGAACAAAAGATAAATTATTCAAGAGAAAACATGTAGAACAAGGTTCAAAAACTCTTGATTGGCGAGCAAAACTACAAGAGGTGTGACAATACCGAGACCTGAGAGCATCAAGAAATCTTAGATTCAAAATTCACCCAAGGCTCCTAACTTTGGAGTGAGATATGTACCATATAAAATTCTAATCTGCACTTTCTCAGGAATGTTTCATAAATGATTATTGTCATATTACTATATGTAGTATAAAGACAGGACAAAGGAATATATCTATATAATAAAATGTACAGGTCGCACTCCATGGTGAGTGTTCCAACCAGCCATATAGCTTTCTTTTGAGAAAATGTATCAAATAAAGAATCAACCCCTTTAATTGAAAATTCTTCCAAGTTGAAGTTCTAACTGGCAGAATGACACTGAAATTGTGATTGAAAGAAAACATGAGAGCATAATCATAATTAAAGATGAATTATTAAAGTCTCCTTCAGACTGGTCAAAGAAACATAATCTTGACTATTTCTTATACTTGGCATGAATACTGTTAGGGACTCCAATTGCGGCAAATGGAGTCCCCAGCAGTAGCAATACTTATGTGAAGAATAACTTGTTATCTAACTCAGAAAAGAGGCAGGCATTGTATAATTTCTGCATCGTTAGCGCTGTACAGTTGAAATCATCATTCTCTTAATATCACAATTATTTGAATCTTTAGAGTTGGATAACAGAATTGTCATAGCTTTGTACATAAACTTAAAATGATCCCCATATATGTCACAAAATAATTCCATTTTAAATGAAAAATATTCCTATTCAGTTGGTTCAGGACTGTACCTTCATAAATTTGGCACCTCCGAAAAACTCTTCTTGTTTAAGTCTTGATGTCCTCACAAAACGACGGACATATGCTGCTTTTCCATCTTTAATGCGCATACCATGAATCATTCTGCAAATACATTTGACAAAATATATTTAAAGTCATAATTGACTTGGTAAGTGAATAAGTATAATCCTGATGGATTGGAAGCCACATATAACCCTTGGAATCTAATCAATTATGAAGGAAGAAAAGGTGCTTCAAAGAAAATGGAAATAACCACCTATGTATAATGCAAATGAAAACTGATCATCATGAATGGTTAAGTCTACAAATAGGCATTCCAATAGTCTGATCACAAATTCACACACAACAGATCTACCACAACCATCTTCAAATAATTCTTATTGTATAAGTTGATGTCCGTGACAGGAACAACAATCAGGCTCTGTGAAGAGTTCTTGAATTAAAAAAAAAAAACCATTCTTCTCTTTCTTGTAAATGCATTGGAAGAACAAAAATGTATTTGCGAACCATTATTGATGAAACAAACTCTCTACTTTGTTCTCAATTGCAAAGTATTGCCAATATGTCTTGCCTATGGAAACTCGAGTAATTTATTTCTAAGGTTGTGCAGAATTTTAATTCAACACCATCATGATGCTTACGTTTGAATACACTCAATATCCATTTTAGGTATTCTTACCACCAGATCAAATTTGCATAACTCATGTATCTATTAAACAAACATCAAGGAAGCAATGATGAAGACAAAAGCATAAAATGCTCACTTTCGGTGGGTGACTTCATTAAAACTTGACATTCTATAAACATCGACTCTGACAAATTCAGTGTAGACTGTCAAGGCACACATAAAATCCACATATCTATTAGTGCTCCAATTGAAACCATTTGAAGTAAAACTAGGTGAACTGCATTGACAAGCCTAGGCAGAGAAGAAAAGGTAAAAAGGAAAACACCAGGCACTAAATTACATTCCACTGCCACCATAAATTCAGTGTTTAAAAAAAATATATGGAATAGACATGCATTTGATTGGTTGTGCTTGATAGTATAAAGAGAATTTGGCCGCAGAACATTAGATGTTAGGCCACCAAAAACCATCACATTGTAGAAACTGGGATATAAATTTGCAGAGACAACAAATGGAACAAACAAAATCTGCAATGTATTAGCGCAACATACCCATCTCCATCAAACCTGCGCAGCCATCAAAAACAGAAATTAGCACGAACATTCAACTGACCAATCACTCTATTTTCATTTACAATGACAAAGAAACATTTTCAAGATGTTGACACAAATAAAGAGAGCATACCAATGGTATCCAGCCACTGGTACAAGCTTCGGGTTTGGACCCACCCTCACAAATTCCCCGTTCAGGCAATCCTAAAATTAAAAATAAAAACAAAAACAAAAACAAGCATCTTAGCTTAATATAAACATCACATGCAACACAGATTGCCTAGGAAAATTAATATACATAATTAAACTATACAGATATGGTCTATTTTTCTGCAATTGATTTAGAGTTAACTGATATATAAAAAAAATTAATACTATTAAAAATTCTGTTAAACTAAACATTTTCATGAGTGAGAGGAGGCGCGTGGCCTAGTCCACAGGAAAAATCGTGGTCCAAGTTTTTAGACCTTAAAAACTCAGTAGTCATTCTTACATCCAATTAATGTTGAACAGTACCTGTTCTGCTTTGACTACTCATCGCAATCTAGTTTTCTATTATAATTTATAAGTCAACAACTCCCAGAGGACTCAATGCTTAATTAAAGAGTAAAAAAATTCTCACAATTTCAAAATTCAAACACACAACAGCACATAATCAATCATTTATAAACAAATCCAAACTTTACATGAGACAAATCGTTGACGAAGGAATCCTATCAATAGAAATCATTTTATCGTTACTCTTAGAAAATTAATTAATTTTATCAAATAAATAAAGCAGTACTTACAGGTAGGTAGCCTTTAACGGGAAGGTCTTTAACAGGAGGAGTTTCATCAGGAACCGGAGCGAAGTTGCCGGAGAGGTAATGGTGAGATTGAGAGGTATCATACATTAATTTAACAATCAGCTTTTCCAAGTAGTCAATAAGTTTTGAAGTAAGTCCTTTTTGTGGCTTTGGATTCACTTCCACTACCGTGCTTCCTGCTCCGACGCCGATCTCTTGCTTTTTCTCAGCTTGTGATTTCCCCGCCATTTTGCTTTCTCTAGCCTGTGGTAAAGTGAGCACTGAATTGTGATAAAATTGGATAGGAAGGAGATGGCTTGACTGGTTAAGACATCACATTGCAGATATTTTTTGGCGTGGACTTGTACATTTCCGATAACGGGCGATGGTGCCACCGGCCACGTATTTATATATTCGATATTAACCAGTACAAAAAAAATGTATATATAAAATTAACTATATACTAAAAGAGCTTTTGCTTTGACCATCTCATATATTACTTACATATTACTGGATTTTTTTTTTAATTACAATTTGATTTTTAAAATTTTATTTTATACAATTGAAGTTTAAATTAACGCTAAATTATATATATATATATATATATATATTTTTTTTTTATTATTATTTTTGTGAGTGGGGGCTGAGTTGAGAGACCGAGAAGTGAAAAAATCAAGTAAAGTAGGTAATGAATTAGAGATTTATTTGAATGAATTATTTTAGCTCTTTTTTTTTAGCTATTAAATATTTATTCATTTAATTTAAAAAAAAAATATTTTTATGTCAAATTTTATTTTTTTTATTTCTCAATTCTTTTTGGGTAAAAAAAGAAGAAGAAGAGCTTTCCAGGTTCTAATAAAAAGAAAAAAAGTTATTATTTGTGATAATTCTAACCATCAAAATAATCTATTCTTATACCAAATAATTTTATATGATAAGAAAAACTTGAATTAGTTTTTTTATCTTAAAAACATCTGAAAAATTAGATCTAAAACTGGAAAAACATTTGGTTTTGGGGTTTAAGATATTTTTTCATTTATTTTAGATTATGAATTGAGTTAACAAGATTTTAAAAGTATTTTTTATATATTCTAGATAAATATATGGTTTTAAATATTTTTTTTATAAAAATCATGAACCATATTATTCTAACCACCAATAAATTCAAATAACGCATTGTTTATTTATTTTTTAATTAAAATGCACAAATTAACTTTAAAAGAGAAATATGGGCATAAGCCACCTTTTTTTTATGGGTTAAATGTTTAGTCTGGCTTATTAAGTTTAGCAACGTTTATTCTAATTTTAAAAAATTATTATTTTAATTAATATTTTTATATATTTTTTTTAAATTATATTTTAATTAATAAATTTTCTATGATTTTTTTTCTTTCCTAGTCTTTTCTAAATAGCAATTATTTTTTAATTATATTGAGTGTGTTTAATTTTTTAATAGGTTAATATGATTCATTTGTAATTTTTTATTTTATATGTATTAACTTTTTAAAAATTAAAGTGTTTATTGTTTTACAATATTTTTAATATATACAACCTTGTATGGTATTTTTTTATTTATTTAATAAATTTTACAAGCATGTCAATTTTTATTACAAATTAATTTTAACAAAACAATTTATTAAACACAACCAAAAAACTATATGTGTTGTGATAGCAAATATGTTTTATCTCTCAATTTTTTTAGTTGTTTTATTTACTCTCCATTTTTTTAATTAAATTATCGCTTGATAAACATATATTCTACGCATATCTTGTGTCCAAGTTAAAGATTTCATGTGTTAATCTAGCTTTTTTCATGCAATAATTTATTTATTTATTTAGTTGTTGTTGTTGTTACTTTATTTTATTTATTGTATTATTAGATTAATTAAAATTTAGTTTAATTATCAATTTTTTTATTTTTTTGAAAATCAATCATCTCCTAATTTTTTTTAGATTAGAAAAAATTAATTCAGGTTGTGGTATTAGACGGACCAGCAATCTAGTAGTTATCTAATATTAATATGAAAGTGCATTAATAATAAAAATGACAATATAAGTAATGTCCCGATGAATGCACTGGTTAAACTGCCTCGTGGGTTGGCTGCCATGATTGTCCGTACGTTTATAGGGTGTACAATGTACATTTATCGGAACTAAATTAAACTAATTTTACCATTTCTCTCAAGGTTTACCAAGGACATGTGAGCTCAATTAGTAATTTTTTTGGTCAACAGTAAGTAAAAAGGGCTTGCTGCTTTTGTTAGCCTTCTGTATAGTAGCAAAAAAGTTAAACAGTAGAGGGGTTGATTTTACATGCCTCAACAAATTTTACAAGTTAAAAATAAATTGAAGAATGGATAAAAATATAATATACTTTAAAAAACTTTTAAAATAAAATTTTTTATAAAAAAAAATATTGATATAATATATCAATTCAACTAAAATTGATATAAATTAACCAATTAGGCCCTCAACTCGAGTTATAAAATCAGAATAACTTTGTAAAAAAAATCAAAATAAACTATAAAACATGATCCTCGTTCAATCTAATACTAAATGATAAAATTAAAAAAAAATACTAAAAAATAATTCAACTCAATTCTAATTAACCTGTTTAGTTTGCTTTATGAATCATGATATCTAAATAATTTTATAAAAATAAAATAAATTAAATTATGAATATCTCTTAGTAGTAAATTTAATATTAAATAATAAAAATAAAAAATTTTAATTAATATTTTAAACTCATAAATTTAATCATAAAATTGATGTAACCTCGAGATAATCAAATTAAAAGCTTAATCCCTAGAAACTGGTATTGGAAAATGAAATTAATAAAAAAAAATGTTCCAGTAAACAATTATTTTTGAGGAAGTGAATGACAAATTCACATTATCTTTTGATTTTTGGTTTTTGTTAGTGGTTCAAACAAAATAACTGGCATGTCATAGATTACATTATAATTTTTTTATTGTGAAAAAAAGTGTTCAAATATTATTAACATGTTTTCAATGGCAAGATAAATCTTAACTATCAACTCAAAATCCAAAATATACATTTAATAAAATAGACTAGGAGTTATATACGTCAATAAATATTAAAAGATATCTTAATTTTAATTAAAACTAAGTCATGAAATTGAGAAATAAATACAAATAAAGATATTTGATCATGTGCAAAGCCTTTTCTTTTTTTAACTTTATTACATGACATTGATATTTTTAAATTAGATTAACGAATTGAATTTCATTGAAATAAAATAATTTGATAGCAAAATTCTTTCTTTTCTTAATGGTATCTTTAATTCAGACAAAAAATATCCAAGGTTTTTTTATGCCATTCATATAATAAAAATCAAAAGCATCCAAAAAACATTAAAAAAAATCAAGACGATTTAAAATAAAAATAAAAAAGTATCTCTCAAGGGAAACCCCTTTTGTCTTATCAATGTTCCCATTTGTTTTTAATTTTTCACCAAAACATTCATTTCTTGAACAACATTCTATCATTCGTCCGAAAGCAAATTTTAATTAAAAAAATTCTATTAGTTTTTAATGTGAATATATTTAAAAATATAAAAATTCTAGCATGCTTGTGCGTTATTATAAAAAACTCTTTAGAAATATCACTAAATGAAGCTCAATTGGCTAGTCTTGACATATTGTGACCTAAATTCTTGCGTGGTTTGGGCTGGGTTGACATGTTTGTCTGGTTCGGCCCGTGTGCTGAATTTTTGCATTGAGTTTTCGGTTAAGCGGAGTTAGTTTTTCTGGCAATACATTTGTTGAATTTGACTATGAACTAAAAAGGTCAACGATAACAGATAGCCCAACGTGGCCAGCCAGGCAATGTTAAATTGCCATGATTCACGATAGTTTACGAGATTTGCAAGCCCAACACTCGACATCTCGTTAAATGTGAAACTTCTACCCAATTAATAGCTTATTTTGATAAATAATATAATAGCGTTTTTTAGATATTTTGAAATAAAAATATATTAAAATTCAAGTTTTTGTATGAAAAAATCCATTTTCCGGCCACCTCTCTCTCCTTTTACATGTAAATAAATAAAGTTAAAAACTAATTTCTAGCAATAAACAAATACTTAACTGGCAAAAGAAATTAACAGATTCTTGGATTTGTTTTTAATTTCTTAATATTTTTTTCAAGATTTTAATAATCTCTTATCCAATAGGGAATTGACATGTTTCTTCTTCCTTTTAAATTCAAAATTAACATAAAATCGGGTTGAATATAGACGCCAAACGTGTCAAATTATTCGATGCTAGAAGAGTGTTTTTATAAAAAATCAAATCTACATATTGAAAAAGGAAGAATACTTTTCCGAGTGGGCTCGGTTCCTTAATGTAACACGGGCTTGAAGAAACATATTATAAATGGTCATGGGCTTTTATAGATTAATAAAACTATTATAATTAATTGCCGGGCTACTTTAAATTTGACTCGGTTCTGCGATCAAACAATCTCTTTCTCGAACAGCGTTAAATGCTCCAGCGATGAAGATTTTAGATTGTAAAAATCAATTTGCTATTTGCCCGGGATAAGACCACACACGGTTAAGTTTTTTCTTTTCTTAGAAAAGAAGAAGACTAATTAGGCATGCTCTGGTTTGCCTCCACGCACCGTTTCTTCTTCTTCTTCTTTCCGTAAAAATCAATTTGCCATTTGCCGGGATTAGACCACACACAGTTAAGTTTTTTCTTTCTTAGAAAAGAAGAAGACTAATTATAGGCATGCTCTGGTTTGCCACCACGCACCGTTTCTTCTTCTTCTTCTTTCACTGAATTAACAGAAAAAAGAAGAATCTGATGCATCACAAACAAACATTTGATAGAAATTTCATGATCTCCTCCCACCTGCCTGCGCATCATGTGAGTTGCGAAGGGAGTATTTTCGAACGGAAAAACTGAATTTCCATTCCAATAATTACTGAATTCAAGTTTCACAGTGAAAGGAAAAGACAGGATAGAAAATGCTCCCCCAGAGAGGAGGTGAAATGGTGCTAAAACTGCCCGATTGATGTCGACATGTTCTAGAGCAAATGGGGTTTAGGAAGCGAAATCAACTTTCTGGTCCAATGTTAGGCTTTTTTACCCTTTTGACTCCTCTGTTTTTTCATTTATCAAAAGAAGCTATTAATTAAGGAGAAGCTTTCACATTTAATGAGATGTCGAGTGTTAGGCTTGCGAATCTTGTAAACTATTGTGTGAATCATAGACATCAACATTGCCTGGCCGGTCACGTTGAGCTATATGTTATTATTGACCTTCTGAGTTCAAAGTCAAACCCAACAAATATAATTGCCTGGAAAACTAACTCAGCCTAACTGAAAACTAAATGCAAAGATTCTTAGTCGTACAATAAATGGATT